CAGCATGCAAAATTTGAACATAGGTCACCAGACAAAATAAAGAGATACAGCGCATTGTTTTTCTAAAATGGAAAATTCTAATGACGTCAGCAATTGACATAAAACGCTATATAGAACACGCGAAATGACGTGAGATGGCGCGAGCAGCTGCTTACGTCAGGTCATTTTGGAAGTTCTGTCATTTTGTTAATCAGTTTCCGCGACCTGCGCGTAAAAATGGTCACCCGGTTTTGAGTTCGCGATTCTTGAGCAGGGTTTTCGTGATAACTATATCGAGCCACCTTAAGCTGTATTTTTCGCATCCATTTTGGAAAAAAGGGCTGGGGCTACCTGCAGAAAACACTCATAACCGGCTTCAAAGATGGCGGCCAACTTATCGTTCCAGCTTACTTATAGTTCAATGGTACAAACTTACCGAATACATAAAATACGGACGGCCATCCACCAGCAAAGCCATTTGCGCAAAGCCATCCAGATAGAGGGTATGCTATAATTGTCCCAATTTGACTTCCTATATGAGAGAAATGAGAGAAAATAATATAATTTATTATAATATGTATTTTCCCCGAACCAAGGGCGCGCGGGGCGTAAGCCCGGGGCCCCCGGGGTACTAATTTCGCCCGGGTATTTACCACCGGGGAAAGGAAAGCGTTAGCGAAGTCTAAATTAAGTTCATCAATAATATCTTGCGTGGGTGGTCATCCTCACCGATCTCAAAATATAGACTGCCATGAATAGCGAACACTAATTTGTCTAATTTAAAATTTGCATTATAACGACAGCGAAATAGAAGCCTATTTTACGTATAATAACCATAGATATCTTATATACACTAGATAGCGCATCTCTTTTAGTAAAACTAAAGCCAAGAATATTCCAGCGGTTACCATTTGAATAGATGGTGGCGACCATGTTGGTCGTTCCCACTCGCTAATAAATACTTAAAAACAACAATAACTTTCATCATTTGAATACTTTAAAAATGTATTTGGAATAGGGTTAACTTAATATTTAAGTTCCCTGTTTAAGAAATAGGAAATATACGAATCTTCTCTCATTTCATGGGAACGACCTGAGACTGCAATCACGGCTTCAATTTTTGAATTGCAGAATAATTAGATGCACTATCTAGTGTATATATTAAGATATCTATGATAATAACATACCTAACATATATATTTTTGGGGAAACTGATATAATTTTGTATTAAAAGTGATCTTTTCTGAGGATTTTTCAATTATAAAAATATTCTTAATAAAATTAGAGTGTTACCTTGACAACTACTTTAAATACTTCACGTTCGGAAAATATACGAAAAGCGAGTAAAACAAATTGTTTTCTCTTGAGCATTTTAGTATGCCGTTGTTGTCTAAAATGCTACGTTATTTACATGATTTCACGGCTAGTAACTACGCCAATAGTTAATTAGAATGTCCGAGGTCATGTTAGGTATTCAATGTGAATTCACTGAGTATTGTACAATACAGTATGGATTGTTTGTGAAGAGAGGGAAAAATCACGAAACATCGCGTTTGGAATGTTTACTTGCCCGTCATGATATTCACTTGCCTCGGGCAAGCGGGCAAGTGTTAAGTCGACACACCTCTAAAGCTCGTGTTTGAAGAAAACGCAACAATCGGAGCAGCTCGAAAACTACTGGGAAAGATCGCAAATCCCGATACAATTAAATTAACTCGAAATCAAACTCGAACTCGATCCCAACTCGAAAGTACCTTCCTCCCGTGAAGAGAGATAAATACTTTTTCTGCATGTAGTTATATTTTAAGATTATTTCAATATATTTCAAAAACTATGTAAAAACCACGCCCAAGTCGATACATGCACAAAACGGACTTGACTGCCGCTTTAAGACTACGTTCACACAACGCCGGGGCGGTTAACAAACGGCGCAGAAAAGTCACAATTAGATTATTTGTTGCTAGCGTACGGACTTTCTTCAGCCAATTCAAAATCGAGTAGAGGTCTGGGTTTAGTTGATGTTTGGAGGGACAACAAGTATAGTAAGCGAGCTAAATATATAATAAAGGATGTCTTATTATAATTGTTGCGTTTCAGGTTGCACAAATAACTTTAGGAATGTAGGAAAACTTCTTACATGCCATATTCAGCATATTGTTTATTTTTTGTCCCTCCAAACAAGCGACTAGACCCAGTCCTCTGCTCGATTGGGAAATGGCTAATTAGCCGTCACATTCTTACTTCGCCGGAGCGAAATTGTTTGAAAACGTCACTTTTGCCGCAACAATTTGAGTACGGTTTCTAAACGGAGCGAGATGAAAAAGGAGTGCTTAGCTTGCAGGCCGTTACGTGTGAAATTATTTTTTGTACCGCTTGCAAACCAAGCAACTCAAATTCTCGAAACAGTAAATTCAAATGCTTTTCGCTTAAATTTCTTTGCTCTATCTGAATATTTTGGGTTTACATGAGTGTTAATTAGTATAGGTAATCATGCGATGGCGAGTACAATTAGGGATTAATAGTACGAGCGATGTTTGGAAATTTTGCCAAAATTGGACGAGCCGCCGGGGTGAGTCCAATTTGGCAAATTTCCAAACATCACGAGTATTATTAATCCCTAATTGTACGAGTAACATTGCATGATTACTCCAGGCTGCCTACTGCAACAACACATTCCATTCCGATTGTTTCAACTTGACCAATCAGGAAACGGCATGACGTAGGTTTCCCGCCAAATTCAGTAGTGACTAATTTTTAATAATTGTTCAGTGGTAAATATATCTCAGTGTTTACTGCTGTTAAAATATTACATGCATGTTTGAAATAATCAACTTGTTTATATTCTGTATACTCCAAAGAAAGCAGGGTTTATTTTAACGTGCAGTTCTACACAAAATGTGCAGTTCTAAACCCATTTGTGCAGTTCTTAAAACACAAATGTGCAGTCACCAAACTAACAAAAATAGCCTTAATTAAAACAGTCTTCTCATTCACTCGTTACCCTTGTGGATGCTCCAGAAAATTCCAGAAATTCTGTCATTAATTGAGCATCAAAAATATAAACGATTTCTGGGGGAGGACTCCAGACCCTCCTATTTTCCTCACAAAACACTTACATGCTGGGGTAATAGAAAAGAAGGTAAAATTGGGGCGAGCGATGCTCCCCAAAAGAGATTAGAGTGGGAGAACCTAATATTCTTTGCTGCCTCAAATGCAAATTTACGGTTGTCATATATTGAATATCCATGATTCCCAGTTACATGTTTTGAAAGAGTTTTTGTGAGTGGTTGGGTAAAACAAATCTTAGCCAGAACTTAACAGCTCTAGATTCAATTGGGGAACACCCCTAGCTCCTGCACCCAAAATCGTGTTTGCCTGGCCTTTCTCCAAGTTTCCCATCCAACCACACCATTATTCTGTCAGCTATATGCAGGTAAAAAATCCTTCGACCCCAGTCACACACTCATTGCCTTCGTAACATCCCTATGTGTGCAGTTCTAAATTTTTCTTAAAATAAACCCTGAAAGAAAGTGACTGAAGTAGTGGCGGAAAGTGTTTCCTTTGTTACGAAAACAGGACAAATAATGATAGATTATTTGTTTTGGGGAGAAGTAGTACCCTTGATATAGCTGATCTGATCAAGGTATCAGTATAAAATGTTGATGTGAACAATATTCGTAACGATTTATTTGTTTGCAAAAACGTATGTTATCGAGTGTCGAGGGTCATAGGTCGAGGGTCGAGGGTTATAGGTCGAGGGTCGAGGGTCATAGGTCGAGGTTCGAAAGTCGAGGTCGAGGGTCAAAAATCGAGGTCGAGGGTCAAAAGTCGAGGTCGAGGGTCAGAAGTCGAGGGTCGAAAATGGGAAATATTAGTTTTTTATTAAACATTTCTAGAATACTACATTTTTGGCATTTGTTGTCAAAGTTTTAAAGGTTTTCCTGATAACTAACTTTATTACTGTTAGTACAGAACATGCCTTAGGGCATAATTAGGTTCCTTTTTGTTTTTCGAGAAAGTGTAAAATTACTAAAACTATTCGAGAACGTACGGTGCCGGTGGGGTGATTCGAAAATATATTGTATTTATTGAATATTGTACTATCAGAACGAGTCGGTTCCCAATGCAGCGAAAATCTCTCACAATGGTCGTGAGATAATTCTGAACCGAACTAAAATCACCCTGCTATAAAGATTCGTGCTTCGTGCATGTTATTTTTGACAGAACAACTAAAGAAAGTTTCCATTTTATTATATTACAACGTTCTCGCAACTATATTATGAATATGAAACTGTCAATGGAACATGTGCACTTCCGGTGTAGACATGTAAACACGATGTTTAAAAATATAAATATCAACTGTTTCTCGCACACCCTAACGCTAATAAACCTCCAAAACCATACGCGGTTTGAAGAGTATCGTTAAGTCAAAGTTCTGAGAATTTCAGAACTCTTTCGCCTCCAAGTCCAAGAGATAACATATTACCTATACTGGCTATAGGCTATAATCAGTGTGACCCTCGACCTCGACTTTTGACCCTCGACCTCGACTTTTGACCCTCGACCTCGACTTCCGAACCTCGACCCTCGACCTATGACCCTCGACCCTCGACACTCGACCATTACCCAAACTCGTTTCAAAAGTGCTTGGGTTTTATGCGTTCAAGAGCTTTTTACGAATTACATTGGTCATTGCTTTTAAAAATTCACGTCAAACGTTGCTAGTTTTAAGTAGCAAATGTATAATTTTTGATTTCGTGTTAATTTGAATGCAGTAATTTGAAATTGACAACTTGTCGATTGCAAAATAGTTATTGTTTACAAATGTATATATTATATATTTTTATTTAATTTTTCCCATGTATAAAAAAGCTACTTAAAATATATCTTTGATTTTGGGCTAGATACCTACTAGAAATCCTCGTAGACTTTTTATTTTGGCCTCTAGTTACTGTTCATTTGTGATCATAATTAAATCACATAGTCAATTATTTCAACACAGTCAGTCAATACAATATGTAAAATGAGAAGTTTTGAAGAATATATACTATGTCTATATTTACAAGAGAGAAAAAGAAGGGCAATGTTGGTATTATATAAATTAATACTAATGTTGGCGATGCATTTAAATTTTTACAATGACTGGGCTACAATATACTAAACTAAAGTGCTATATATAACTAAAGTATTTATACTAACATATATATATATATATATATATATATATATATATATATATATATATATATATATATATATATATATATATATATATATATATATATATATATATATATATATATATATATATATATATATATATATATATATATATATAAGTATGTTTTATCGCATGTCTTATGGTAATTGTCAATTGTGTGATAGCAAAAAGTGTAATGTTGTTTAATTTGCTTTTTGAAGATGTTATAGGAGTTTACTTCAGTAAATTTTGTTTCTAACGAATTCCATACATAAACTCCTTTATTTGAGAGTGCATGTGTTTCACATAATTAATATAATTTGTCCTTTTATAACATTCGTGAAGTTTTGAAGCATTTCTCGAGTTGACTTTATATGTTCATGTATAGGCCTACTGTATTTGGCTGTTTGTTACAAAATAATTTTTAAAGAAATCTGGTAAATTATTAAGCTGGTGGTACCGAAACATAAATAAGGCAGTTAAATAGTCAATGATTTAAGAACAATGCCTCGAGATCTGGTGTTCCATAAACTACCGCTCTGGCATTATTCGTGGAACAGGCGATCACATCACATGAGAGGCAAAACTTGAAATATGATCAATTTACCAAAGCCTGTAGTAGGCGGGTTGACAAACACATCTCATTTTTCTTTAATTATTGTTCGAATCGCATTCTTCTGATGATCGTTAAAAGTAGGAATACGAAATATTGGGCGACTTCACACAATGCTTGATCATACGACGCCATCTTTGTTTCGGAATTAGTAAATTTAAGCGCGAACGAGTTCCTGATTTTGGTACTCAGGCTGTGATCGGCTAAACAATCGGAATGGAATGTGTTGTTGCAGTAAGCAGCCTGTTAGTGGGGAGAAAACCTCGGATCCGCGAACAGGCTGCGTAGGAGACTAGCCAAAGCCCAGTCCTGCCAGACTTTCAATCAAAATTTGGTGCTTTTGTTTGCATTTCATTTAGTTCTTTTGTTCAAGCAAAGTATGGTGCTTTTGTTCGTATTTTCATCTAGTTCCTCTAGGGCAATTTCAGTTCACGTTTGTGTTTAAAATACCTTTCCGCCATTTTGTTTGTTTTGGGAAAATCATTAATTCTACTACGTCATCAGTCTACGTCACTACGGAATTACATGAGAGCGCGCGCGAGCTATCTAGGCAATTTGTGCTTGCGTCTTTCTGGGCATAAACAACGTGAAGAAATTTATGCGAGTAAATCGTAAAGAATCGTTCATCATCATCGGTTTGTTGAACATAATTTTTGCACAAGGCAAACAGGGAGTATATTGTTTTGTTATTTTGCTATTTTGTTGTTTTGTTTCTTATTCTCGTTTAGGGAAAAACGAATCAAATGGGCAATAAATATATAAATGATGACATGCAATGGCGGGCAGCCACAAACAAAATTCACGCTTGTGCTCCAGAGTTGAGCGGCAAATACAAGCAACCCAGTACACCCACAATGGGGAAAAGCTACCTATGGTCTATACAGACCGCTCCTAAGATGAGCAAGTGAAACTAAAGCCTTATTAAGGTATATGAGGCCAACGGCCATATAAAGCCCAACGGGCAAAATATCTGACGAGGCCAACAACGGCCATACAAAGCCAATTAAACGGGCAATGAAGCAAGAAGGCAATGGCTGTGGAAAGGCCTATAAAACCAAGAAACAGGACGCCAACTACCCTGTCCAAAGCCTAACGAGTAAAGGCAAAAGGTAGACATGGTCAACGACCACATTGTTGCTTCAGCAACTTGGGAAAGTACCGTGAGACGCCATTGTTGTGCTGCATGGGCGCCACGTCAAGGTCATGCCTCATGGCATGTATGTCCACAATTATTGCAGACAATATTAGTGCTTATTGGACCGAAAAGCTAATGCTTTTTCACACAGCTAGGAAGCTAGTCCATTATTTTATTGCACACAACTGTAACGCAGAAACTGATTGGATTTTTCCAATGTCAACGACATAAAAATGTCATTTGTGAATTGTGGCGTGTGCCGTGTGGATATATTATAGTCCATGGCATGTATATACACATACATTAAATGATCACTTTAGTCTTTACCCACTGTGCTTTACCTAATGAAATCTACAATAATATTATAATGTCGTTTATTGCTGCAAAGCGTTCAGATTGAACGACATTTTATTTGCACTTTTATAATACTTTATACTACTCGAGTTTATCCTGGGCGAACATTTTGCTTTGTTTACTTGGCGGGAAATTGCCAGTGCTTTGCCAGTAATTTATTCACGTGCTACGCACGAGATTTAAACATGGAAGTACATCAGTACATGTTACGAGAACCACGCTGAAGAAATTAACAACTGTGAAACTTTTTAAAGTTTTATCTTGTGTGATACAATAAATATAATAGCATAGCTAAATGCCAGCAAAACCGTTGAAACTAGACCTGAATGCAGACCAGTTTTAACTTGATTGGTCACTTCCTGTGATACAACAACAGCAGGGGTGATGGCTATCACATGACATGTAGCACTACAACCTACAATGAATATTTGCTCATTTGAATGTGAACACAATAGTACAACGCTCATTTCAATTGTTCTTCCACGGCAAGACTAAAGCTAGTCAGCCTAGTTTACTGATAATATCAGTAATTTTGGTATTGGCTGGTATATCAACTCCTCACTTCTGGCATAAATGCTGTCACTGTACAGCTTGGTACAGTTTGTGGGAATAGTACACATCATGCATGCTATAGCAATTATAGCCCCTTTTTACTATCTCAGTATAGTAACCTGATTAGTCACTAGACTGAAGTAGGTTATTATCTTTTTCCCAAGTGGGAATACTGGCAGTGAAAATCTAAAATGCTAATCGATGCCAGTGGGGCAGTGGCTATGTTTTGAACCATGAAACAAACAACTTGACCAGGCCAATGAGAAATTTACTGAATTGTACAGTTTGTACCTGCTTATTTAACCATGCATTAGCATTACTGGGATCAGATTTCAATTCCTGATTAGAATTGAAGGTGTGGTTAATGTCTGCAAATCTGCATGGAGGCTAATCTTGTTCCCTGAGAACAAAATTGGACATCATTATCTTAACCTCTTGGGGACTTTTTGTATAGCCAAAGCAATTTGTATTAAAGTATAAAGATTAGTAATTTGCTATGCCTTGAATTTAAGAACAGCAGTGTAGAATATTCACTGGTCATTATGTATGGAAATATACCCAATCTCCGCTTCAAGCCAAACAAATCAGGCCAGACTGGAACAGTAGAGCGGTCTGGTACTCAATGACAATGTTTCATATAACAATAACAACACACCATTGGCATTGGGAAGTTGCACTATCCTATTTTGTGAATCATTATCTGTTTAACATGGCATAGCCATAGGCTAAACACCTTGTACATATGTCATATATAATAGACATAGTCCATCTGCTGCAATCACTGTTGTTCTGGACTGCAGGACAAACATTGCATTTATAGAATGACATTCCTTCAAAGGACAATACAGTACAAAGACCAATTACCAAATAGCAATGCCTGTGATGCGATACTATTCAGTCTTGGTAAACTCGACTATACCGTCGGTATACGTGCTAATGAGTAATGGTTATGATGAATTTTAAATGGTCTGATAACAATAACAGTTACAAAATTCAAAACTGACGAACCGGCTGTCACTCGAATGCAATATGCATGTTACATTTACTGGCTATTTAACCCCATTGGCATTGCATATGGCTATAATAAAATAAGAGGAATTCAATACAAGGGACAATTCTTGTCAGTCATGTGGTTACCATGTAAATGTATGTAGAAAGGGCACAGCGAGAAACTTTGCGGACCAATATACCATGCACCCTGACTCAGGAAAACATGCAACTGACCGAAATTTATTTTCGAATGTTGCTTTGATTCTCGCGTTAATATGCAATTTAAGCCAATAACAATGTCCCCTGATTGTTTCAACAGAATATCTCTACAATAATGTTAGTGTTGTTACTGTTGTAACGGCCCAAGATCTTTTCCCTTCACCTATTGTAAGTTTCGGATGTAAACGTTTCTATGATACCCCACACAGTCACAGAACAACACTGATCAACCAGTCCTTTTTGGCGAATTTCGTGTGCACATACAATGTATTTAACACATATTTCGTGCCACAGAAATATTAAGGAATATACTCTCCAAATACAAATGGTTGTGGTTATGACTATATGCTCACCGCCTTCACTTCGAAGCCTTATGGCCTTTAACGGTATGACTGTATGTCCAAATGCGATCGGCAGCGAGCGGCATACTACACTTAATTATTACAAACAGACTTCAGTACACAAATTGGCCATGGGACCATAATATTGAGAGGGGTGATAATATACAATATATGACATATGTATTTGAAATTGCTAGACTTATAGAACATTGATGTTATATGAATCATGCACTCAGAATCATAATGTACTAATCAGTACCTATTTGGGCACATTTGTCTTCCTTTTCATTGTACAGAATTATTTCTATCATCAGCTTCTGAATTATAATAACGACGGAGCTATGGAACAAATGCATATTTTTACTTAACTATATATACATTAATTTGTGTCATATAGAACCCTTAATCCTTATATCAGTTTCATGATGCTTGTGATGTTACTGTGAGACATTGGGCAGGCTTGAAAAATATGCCTGGCCACGGTGGGAATCGAACCTACGACCTTTGGAATACTAGCCCAATGCTCTGCCAATTGAGCTACGCGGTCAGGTTGGTTCGAGCATGGAACTGAGTCTAGTTCCTTCGATATCAATGTAATCTAATAATCATGATATTTGCTGTGTTGGTTACGTGATATTAGTCAACGCTGAGGTTTCAATGGTCAGTTCAGCGTTTATTGCATAACGGTCTGATGATACTGTAATGACCTTATATATAATTTGCAAAGATGTCGTGTGACATCAGAAAAAATATTCATTTCAAAATTAGTGTAAGTTACTGCAACCAGGTTTTCAATTCAGGAAGAGTATAAAAGTTCTTTCGTCCTTGAGTTATAAACTCCTCGATGCCAATGGCACTTATATTGGAAACTTTTGGCTTTATGACAGCCTCGAGATACACTGCAGGCTGTATGCTTAATACAAAGAAAAATTCCGTCTTATGGTAAAGAATTGTGAGTCGTATCGGTACCAGGGAACAGCCTGGGTACGGGTTTGCAATCTTATGGCAACAATTGTTCATTGCTTCTTGATGGCAATGCATTTAATTTAAGGGAATTTAAAAAGAATCATGAGGAAATTATCTTTACCTTTATTTATTTATTTGGAGTCTACTACTACTAGCATTTCTTGTAGACAGAAGAGGTTAGCCCAACCTCACAATCTAATGATTCCCTTTTTTGTATCTGCCCTTGCGCAGATGTGATCATGTCGGCTCGTTTGTTAGTAGATGATATCATGGTTTAGTAACTTCGTAAACCATTGACTGATCTACTCATTGGCGTGTGTGTGAACAGGACTTTGAAATCTCATGTAATTCCGTAGTGACGTAGACTGATGACGTAGTAGAATTAAAAATTAAACGAGACTTACCTGGTAAGTTGAAGTTTGATTGGAATTCTACAAGTCATCAGTCAGGAACGGAGGAATGTCCTGACTGATGACTTGTAGAATTCCAATCAAACTTCAACTTACCAGGTAAGTCTCGTTTAATTTTTAATTGTACTGCAGTACAATTAATGATGGTAATAGAACGAATAGGAGTGCTATTAATGCCATAATCATACGAGTGATTACAAAATCAACCGACCGCGTAGCGGGAGGTTGATTTGTTAATCACGAGTATGATTATGGCATTAATAGTACGACTTAATTTGTTCTATTACTTATTAATTATTTATCTTCTGTAATCAAACTGTTTAAGGGGGAAAAGCAGAAAAATACAATTTGTTGAAGTTCAATATAATTATTAAATTTTTGTCACGACAATTCTTAGTGAAATAGTACAATTTTGAATTATTGTTTATCATATACAATCAAATTAACATATTATTAACTTCCGGGCATTATTTCCGGTATAATCACATGACAACATTTGTTTGAATTATTCAACACACAATTGGGAAGCCATGTTTGTATGTTTATAACGTGTTCAAAATAGTGAAGTTCTCTAATTCAATTAATCATCTGAAATTGGATGGAAATATAAATCCTGGTTGTGTTTAGTTCGGTGTCTTCTGCTGGATGAACAGGTAGGTCATTTTCGTCAGAAAATATATAATTTAACAACCCTCGAAAACGAGATCTGCATTCGGCAATGCCGACCTACAGTAAATGCCGACCTATCAACCTCCCATGTCGGCAATGTTTTGCCGACCTTAATTCAGCCAAAGTAATAATCTTTTTTGGTGCTTATAGCTGTTAAAAAGTCAGCGATTATAGAATTCGATGTACTTTGGTGTAAGGTTTAAGAATTAACGGGTATATTTATGATATAATTTAGGTAAAACTCTAAAAGAAAAGGCTTCGTGACATTTATACTTTTCAATGATTCGTAAATACGTGATTACTAGTGCAGGCTACTAGTGCTCCAAGACATGGAAACAGATTTTAAAAAATGCCGAGATGTACCGAGCTAGGTCAGGTTTAGGTCGGCATTTTTTTTCCGACCTCAATTTTGACGGTTTTCGAGGGCTGATTTAAAAATTAAAAGGTCAAAATTTGTGAATTCCTCCATTTTGAAATTTTTTACAGCAATAAAGAAAATAAAATTCAAAGTTTGTATCCTGAATGCTGATTGGCTAGTTGTAAATACTAGACTGATTTTCATTGGCTGTAGACAAGAGGGCGATTACAGCTCAGAAAAGGTGCGATTAATGCTCAAATCGCACTCCTGTCAACCAATGAAATTGCAGTATTTGCCACTGATTACAGAAGATAAATAATTAATGAAATAATTGTACTCCTCTCAACCAATCAGTATCCAGTAATTTTGTCATGCTAATAATAAAATTTGTAAACAAACTGTAACAGCGCAGTGTGAACACAAGTAAATTCTGCCCGAATTCGTTTGGGTGTAGTCTTGAACGTAGTGTAAATCTTACCAGAGTAGGTGGCAGGAACTAATTTCGTTCTCTCTAACGGTGGTGCCCAATAACTCCACATCGCGTGCATTGCTGGAAATGTTACACCCTAAATGAATCAGAGAATAGGGTAAGGAGATCATATTTATTTATTTAGCTTTGCCAACTAGGGCAGGGTCACCACAACATACCTAACCCACCCTGTCAACATTCCCTGTGGGAGGTAACCGCGCTACCCAGAGAAAACCCGGCACGACTTTCGGCAAAGCGTTGACTTGATACTCTTTTCACATGAGGACTGGGTTCAAGTCGCAATGAGAAAGTTCTCACTGAGATTTGAACCTGCGACCTTAGAGGTGAAAGGCAAGTGCACTGACCACTTCGCCACAAAAAAACGAATATCGAAAAAAAACGAATACGGAAAAAAACGAATAGCGAAAACCTTGCCTGTATATTTACTTTTCTTGCCGGTTACCAAAAATAATTTCCAGTTAAGCCAGGTTTCCATATGGTCGTAACGGTCGTAAAGACAGAGTCACGATCTTTCTCAACGGCCAGATTATAATAGTTTTTCTGTAAATCACATATAAATCATAAGTATTCTCTGTTTTTTAACCACTCTGTCTATTTTCAGTTGTAAACTGTTGTATTTCAGCTGTTGAGAAAGATCGTGACTCAATCTTTACGACCGTTACGAAACGTTATGGAAACCAGGCTTTAGCCCTGCGAACAAAGCGAGCAGCCTGAGCAGGTTTGGAACCTCGTAGCTTGCGAGGTGCGACAGGGGACTGGGTCACCAGAGGAACCTTTTGAGCAATTGGGCACGAGAAAGTTAATTTCAGCAAAAGGAAACACAACTCAGAGCTTGACGGCTTCAGATTTCATAAATAAAATTAGCCACAGAACTGGAAAATAGTCTAACCACACAAAGTTTGAAAATAAAATGTTATAGAAAAAATACACTATATCAAATCTGGTCTGTAAAGATTCCAATAGGATACTGGGAAATATTGAAATTTTCTATCATACTAACGTGCACAAGACCTTCTGACACAGGTAAGTGACAGGTTGGTAGTTAGCTTCAGTCACTTGCAGGTAACGCGGTTACCTCGGATCCCAAAATCTGACACCCATGACGAGAACAGGTCGAAAAAACAACAACTGTATTACCTCCGCCAGGAGATTATGTTTTCATTCGCGTTTGTATGTGTGTCTGTGTGCATATCACCTTAGTGTACAGCTAATTCAATTAAGGTTGTCCAGAGCAAACCGCCAAACTTTGACTTCTAAGCGCGAAAAGCGTTATTATTGTGAGATCACACAAACCAACGTTCTTAACATTAAAAAGTTTAACTTCAAAAATCCAATGAATTCTGTCAGGTTTGCTATTGAATTGGGTTAGACGAGCAAATAAAATCCGAGAAAAGTGAAAATCAACGGTAATGCCGATACCAAAACGGTTTTTGAACGTACTGTAACCACCACGTAACTACGGAATGTTCGGACTATCAATTACATATACTGAATGCATCGTGCTTTAAGCGCTTATACAACCTTAACTGAATTTGGTGTATATAGACGAATTTGCGGTTAGAGCTCCAGGGCTGCAAATAAATGTTTGACTTGACAAGACATTTGTCCGATCACTTTTAATTTTGGTCGGACATAACTTGAATTTGGTCGTACAAAAACTACCATCACTAAATTTGGTCGGACATATATACGTCACAAGATATATATATATAAGTCACGAGACAAGTATGTATGCCATTCCGGCGCAACGTTAAGTAAAATTAAATGCTAGATCGCCTCATAAATTTTATTGCAAAATGCAAATTGAGTGAATTTGCAATCGGATTTTGTCACGGCAAAAAAAATGTATAATGTGACAATTTTTTTTGTGATCGGACCAATATCTGATCAAAATTACTTTGCTCGGACATTTGCCAAATTTAGTCGGACATTGTCTGATGTCCGACAGTAATTTGCAGCCATGGAGCTCGACAACTGGCCTCTATAGCTCAGTTGGTTAGAGTGCTGCACCGGAATCGCAGGGCCGCAGGTCCAATCCCTGCCAGAGGGCCTATAGTTGCATTTTTCGCAACTGAATGCTCCTGGTTAGGTCCAGGGTAAAAGGTTCACAGGTACTGTATAATAATCGAACTTCGTCTTGACACTTACCTCACCCAGCCCTTCCAAAATTCGAAGTGCTACCAGCGCATAGAGGCTAAACCTTGCAGCCAAGGGTGTTAGTAGCGTCAAGGCAGTCGTCCAAAATATACCAAAACCAATAACTCGTTTGGCGCCATACTTTGAAGCTATCCAGCCTCCAGGCAGTTGAGTGAAAATATAGCCGTAGAAGAATGATCCTAGAATTATCCCTGTCAAAAACAATTGCAAAATTAATTCATTCCAGTAGAAACCCGTTACCTCGAACTCGCTTAACTCGAACTCTCCGCTAACTCGAACGAAATCCAATTGATTTCCCCTGGATTTAACCCAATCTTTACACTCATTTAATATTTACAACGGTTAACTCCAACTCACTTAACTCGAATTCCTAATAGTATGGTTTCGAGAGCAATTTGGAAAAAAAACATGCACGAAGTTGAAGTCTTTGAAAAACTCACGAGTGTATTTTTTTTTTCAAAATGCACGAGAAACCACACTATAGTATTACTTATTAATAATATACATGAAAAATGTATGCAGTCACGTGCGTAAGTCACATTTAGACATTAAGAAATTTAAAAAAAAAATAAGAAAATTTCAAAAAAGTTTAAAGTGGAAGTCAAGTCCGTAATGTAAACAAAGGGTTTTTTTTACATTTTGAACTGCTGTATTTTTAAAATATGATGTACTATTTGAATATCTAACACCATTTTGGTTCGCTATGCTTCTAAACGAATATGAAATAAAGTTTATGTTCAGAAAAATTCGAAACATTCGAAATTTGGGCAATGTTCACATTAGAGGGCCCTCACATTGTTATGTGGGCGAAACGTCAAGAAGTGCGTATGTCAGAGGAGGGGAACATGTCAAGATGTATGAAGGGAAAAAGGAACAATCTACTCTATGGAAACATTGTAAGGAAAAGCATGGTGGTGAGGTGCAAACATTTCAGATGAATGTGACAGGGAGGTATGGCAATGATGCGATGTTGATACAGATATCGGAGAGTGTGAAGATGAACAAGATAAAGAAAGGTGAATTGATGAACTCAATAACCGAGTGGAATTATTTTAGAATTCTCCGAGTAGTAATAGAGTGAAGAGTAAGGCACTAAGTTGACGGTTACACAAAGTTTCAACGCGCTATTTTAACTATATGAAGTACATATTTTAAAACCAAAATGGCGGAGTACTTAAGAGGCTGTGTTACAGCGAAATCGATTTATTTTACCGCCAACGTTATAATTTTTAAAAAGTTTTTTTTTGTATATAACATGATTTTAATCAATTAATCTAAAGTGTGTCGAAAGAGAAATATAGACGGTATGTCTTCGAAAAGCACAAAATTAATCCAACAGCGACCCCATTAACTCGAACGCCCGTTTAACTGGAACAATTTTTCACTTCCCTTGGGAGTTCGAGTCAGTTCGACTTTTTTCAATGTCACCTATTTGCAATGAAAAAGTTCAAATACTAAAATATTTTTAGTTCCTGTCAAAATTACTTTGTTTTAACATCATTTTGTATTTTACACAGTTAGCAACCTTATTAAATGTATGTAGCTGTCGAGAAACATAAAATACTAGTGAAATATTGCAGATTTAAATACAATCTTCATTGATGCTGTAAAATTGACGCCATATACAACAATATAAGCAAAACTTACAGAATTCAGACATTATTTTCTTTTTGGAGTACCACCTAAAATCTCTTCATGTTACGATAATTTTACAGAAAAAGTAGCAAACGTATTTTTAAAAAGAATTTATTAAGTTTGTTTGCAAGCCGATTACCGGGAATTGTATCACAATTAAAAAATTGAATTTTGTCATAAGTGCAAAAGTATATTCATTAGGCCTATTAGTTTTGAGCGCGTGTTATGTAACACGAAAAAGATTTTCCTCTGAATCTTATTTGTAGATTTTAGGGTTTAAATTTATTTGGAATTTGTATTTGATTATTCAAGAAGCGTACACTTATAAACGAAATTTCCTTGTCTGTCAAATAAAAACTATTCGGTATTAACCGGTGTTCATGTCATACCTTGGGTATCTTGATCCCATTCAAATGTCCCGTCTTCACTCTGTGAATGCATATGTAAAGAATGCATATTAAGATTATACAATTACTTTATGGTTTCCGCGTTTGAATGACCTGATCCAAACACGCGGGAATGTTGCGAGAGTTAAGAAAAGCTCGCGAAACACGAGCCGAAGGCGAGTGATTTTGCGCGCTTTTCTTAACTCGAGCAACACTCTCAAGTGTTTGGATCAGGCCATCAAAACACGGAAACCATAAAGTAATTGTTTTATAAAATAACAACAACACGATAGTCTTCCGTGTTTGGATGGCCTGATCCAAACACGGGTTTTGACCAATCAGAACACGCGTTATATACATGTTATTTTAAAATAACATTTCTATGGCGCAAATTTACATGTGGATATGATTACAGTGCGTCTACAGTAAGTGGAGCCACTTAGAGAACACTAACCAATCATGTTGCAGAACAAAAATTGAAAAAATCAACAAACGGCGCATTAGCCAATCAGCATTAGGGCAAAAACAATTTGAACAAATAAACGAATGTCAAACGGTAAAAATAGATTTGTAAAAGTAAACACTGCAGTTAATGGCTTCCTGAATCTTTCTTTTGATTGGACGAGCTTTAGTTTGATTAGAATTTTCTTTTTGTTCTGCAATGCGATTGGTTAGTGTTCTCTAAGTGGCCCCACTTACTGTAGACGCACTGTAAATATGCTTTATACCAAGTATAATACGCTCACTTAATTACAGTACATGCTTAGTCTAGACTATTTTATCTTTACAACTTTATCCTCATGCACCCTGTCAACTTTCCATGTGGGAGGAAACCGGGGCACCTGGAGAAAATCCACGACTTTCGGCAGAACGTTGACTGACTCGATCTTGTCACACGAGTCCGTAGCGAGAATCGAGCCACCATCTCAGTTGTGAAAGGCGTTTGCTTTGACGACTCCGCCACCGGCAGAAGTCCCATACTCGTAAGTTATTGAATGTCCAGTGGTGGCTTAGAATAGTGATTAGGGAGCTTTAGATTTGACTACGAGTACGAGATTTGATCGCGTGCGAGGAAATTACCGTAGTCGTTTTCGTTTCCATTCAAATGTTGCTTTTATAACAGTAAACCAACAACTAGAGAAAAAGTTTCATAAAGTAAATCTCCTGCCGACTAAAATACCCTACAAAACGTGTAAATAAGTCATAACATTAGAAACAGGCCAGATATTTAGCACTGATATATTATTTGCGCCGGATAAACGCTATATAAATGCTACATATTATTTTTGCAAAACAAAAAAAAGTCAACTTTCTTTGGGGTTTTTTGAAAAGTCGTCGTGAGGACTACGAGGTTTCTCCACAATTTCGTACTCAGATGGGCGACGGCTACGACTTTTTAGCGTCAGTACGGGATGGCGTAAGCATACAGCATACGTTTAGCTTGACGAATCTCGTACTCGTAGTCGTACTCGTAGTCAAATCTAAAGCTCCCTATTGACCAGTTGTGCCACACTCGGAAATGATCGATTACCGATTATCCAAGCAACAATCTACCAGATACTGATTTTATAATGACGTCATAATGTCAATTGAAGGAGTAAAAGTGACGTCAGTCATTTCAATTTTTAATTATAATTTCCAACGTAACATGTTACTGCAACCAAAGTTCGTTGAAACCGTTTGTAAAGCCACGCTTCGCGCATAAATTTCGTCATGGTAACACACTGCGTTAAAACGCAACGTGTATCACCGCGCAATGTATATAATTTGTCAGATGCGTACTTTCTCAACAATCGGTTTTACACAATCGGAAATATAGATAATTCTATCGATTCCCATTATCTAGGTAGGGACAAGGCAAAAATCGGCCTGATTTTTGATGGGCTAATACCAGGGGGGGGGATAATACGGAGAACATTTGGGGTTACTATACAATATTTATTATACCTGTAAATTATATATACCGTGAAAGAAACGAAATACAAACATACAGTATATAATTACATATGATAAAACAAGCTGGTTAACATATTAATAGTATTGTAATACTGTAATGTAATTATCGTCACTCGTCTGAGCTGCTGGAATCCCTGTCGCTGCGTTAATAAGTACCTGTCCAATAATAAGCCCATGGGCTTATACACGGAGGGGCTTATATTCGGGGGAGTTAATTCATTCCGAATGGTCTGAGCTTTAGTAAATATGTTTGGCTTATACACGGGCAGGTTTACATTGGGGAGGGGGCTTATATTGAGAGGTTTCCGTTATATAGACCCATTGCACTGACGTCACAACTCACAAATCATTAGAGAGTCCTCCAGATGCTCTTTAAAATTAACAATATCTGTTCGGGTACAACAACCACATACAGCCCCAAAAATTAACCATTTTAATGCAAAATTATTATAAAGTTTTACAAAATTCGCTTTGTTTACAAAAAGTTATATTATAGAATAGATTGCTAATTTGTCCTCCAGATGCATTATCACCGGCACTGTGACATTGTGTGCAATGGGTCTATAGGAACAAAAGCAAAACTTTCCCTAGCTGTAGGCCATGCATGATGTACTTCTGATACTAAAATAGCAATTTCTAGCTAACAGCCATGGAAGGCATGAAACGTTTACAGTATCTTTGGTATATAATAAATTTGGGTCATGTCAAATATCTTTGCAGTAAAAAACCTCATTGTAATAAATTTGAAAAACCTCATGTTTTAAAACCCACAGCCAGAGCAAGGGCGGATTTACTGTGGGGTTAGAGGGGGGGGGGGTGTTACCCCTCTAGAAGCTCTAACCCCTCTTATGAAGTGTTCAACCCTACCAAAATTTCATTTCACCCCTCCTATATTGTGTGAAAGTCTTATAAAAATACCTGTGGTTCCGGTTTCCCGACCGACGCTACTTTTTTTGCCGACCATATTATTTTTTTCAACGCTATTGACCATGCAACCCTATTTTCTCTGTGTGGTTGCAGGCTGCTCATACAGCATGACAAAATGGTGTCTGTTGTCACAATAATTATTGAACCAAAATACCAAATTGCCTAAATTCGTCCATAGGAAATAGGCATCTCTAGTTAATATTGATGTCGGGACTGTACTGAAAATCGCCCAGCAAAAACAAAACGTGAAAACCACAAAAAATATTTTTAAAAAATAATTATTTCCAACCTATCTACTCTACCCTAATTTTATCACAATCAAGGCCGGCGAGAGGGAGGGGGCAGGGGCGCAAAATACCCGGGGCCTGGATTGCTCAGAGAGGCCCGGAAATCTCAATAAAATGCTCGTATTGTTTATCATCGCTTTATGTTTGTCCTAAATGAAATACGCCTACTTGCACACTATCCGCTAATCGTCGTCATCGATCGTAAAACGTACAAAATGCGAAATAAATTATTTTTTCAATCGTTTTCTCAGCAAAAACAGTTAGCTGAACATCGTTCACATTGCATTTTTATCAGTTATGCAGCGATTTCTTGCAAGTAATTCGCTGGCAATTCTCTCGTTGATTGTGATTAAAAATAGCCAGCGGGACAGTCGAGAAGGACAGGAGGCCTGTGTTTACCAATCGTCATTTTGATTTTGTCCCGGGACCCGTGGTTGGCTCTCGCCGGCCTTGATCACAATATGAAACCGGAACCAAGGCCTTAACTCTAATGCCTAACCCCTGCCAAAGCTCGCTCAGTGGTGCCGCTTGCACCCCACTAGAAACTTTTCCCTTTAAATGAGAACCCGCCCTTACCACTGAGTGTCAGCGCTCTCCCCCTAGACAGATTAAAACTGAGTTCCGAAAAATCACCCAATCAAGCAGTGACTTCACCTCGTAGCTCAGTTAGTATGTAGAGCATTGCAGGACTAGCAAACTAAAGGTCATGGGTTCGACTCCCACCGTGGTCGACAACATCATAGAATATGTCTCTACACTTTTGGCCTCTCACAACTCACAAGTTCACTCGCAACTTTATTAATTAATATGGGCAAACAATAAAAAATATTATACCTTTTCTGAAGTCGAACTATCAGGAGTACATTCATGGCTGCTCACTTCCGAGTTTTGATTTGTATAAGTGGAATTCACCATCGCAACTAAAGCCACACTGAGATTCACACGAAGTGCATAAACATTTATAAAACCCAGTAACCCAAGTAGGACTAAAATGTGTCGTTTTCCAAAACGGTTTGCTTCACGTGAAATATTGGAAGGAAGCAAGTCAGATGAATGTTTACTTGAAGCATTGTCGTCATTCATTACATCCATTCAGTCAAGCAAAATACAAAAATAAACAGCTGAGAAATTAAAAATTGGAGAATTTCGTCAAGATTTTCAATCTTGTGACCAGCTTGTGTAATATTATAGCTCAGTGCTTGTGACTCTGTTGTTGTTCAATAAGTACTTCATTTTGTTACAATATAGTGAGCCATAGGGTTTAAGTCAGTTGGCGGGTAACGGAAGAAGATTACAGAATAGCGGATACCGGAAACCTGGGTGGATAATTAATATATCTTATTGGATTCTTCTGAGCCCAATATGGCAAAATATTAAGTCGAGACTTCAATATTGGGCGAGACCGAAGGTCGAGCCTAATATTGAAGTCGAGACTTAATATTTTGCCATATTGGGCGAAGATGAATCCAATAAGAGTTTTATTATATCGAACAAAACAATTCTATAACAAAAAATTGTCAATAAGCGATAATGTAATACAGCGACAACATTAGCCTACAACTACATATATCGGCGGCGAATTTGCTTAAATAACTAAACATAAAGTTAATATACTTGTTTTTACAAATATATCTGCATAAATAAACTCAATTCCATGTGTGTTTAATGGAAATTTGACCTAATTTTGACGAAAAAAATAATATTACTAACCTCGAGGCTGTTGCAAACAAATAAATTTCGCGAATTTTATAAATTTGAACAAAACTGGCAGAAAAAACTATATTAATTTCCCAAATTCTTTTCATTAGTTTGCCATATCGCGTGTCGTATGTTTGAAATTGACAAAATTTCTGAAAAGGGTTGAAAAACCATGAAAATAGCCACGAATCGCAACTGTCCAATAGGTTCCTGTTCAATATCGTAAATTATTGGATCGGCACGTTACCTTCTCAACGATTACTGATTGGTTAAGTGCGCGTGAGTGTATAAATATACACTTAATGTCTGCACCCGATGGAAATAGTTTTGTTTTCCCGAGAATCTCAATGTTTCCCGAGACGAAGTCGAGGGAAACATTGAGATTCGAGAGAAAACAAAACTAACTATTTCCCGAGGGAAAAGACGTTAAGTGTTTTGTTATATAGCGACGAAACAAATATCAACATTGAACAACATTCATACAACAATACTTGTATTTCATGACAAAAACTCTATAGCGTAAACGAGTTTAAAATTTAAAAAACCTACTTAAATGGTTTCAGCAGAATATCCTGTTGCCTGTTATGTATTTTTCTTCTCTTTTACATTCTTTATTTTAACACAAAGCCACGAAAACAGTACTTTAAATAGTATAAATTTGTGCCGCAATTTTGTTTATTTATGTACGTAGCCGGTCGGGACGGGCAACAATTTTTCACTTATCGCCCGGGCGGCATACATTGCATTTATCTAAAGCCACGTGACTACAAATCAGCCAATCACGTTTGGTGTTCACACTAGCTATATAACAATTATCACTTATTTATTGAGACCGAGGGAAACAGTGTGTTTTGTGGACCCGAGACCGTCGATGTTTCCAGAGGAGAAGCCGAGGGAAACATCGACGGTCGAGGATCCACAAAACACACTGCTTTCCCGAGGTCTCAGTAAATAAGTGTTTTATTATATATCAATAGTCAAAGAAACAACAAATTAAATAACAAATGAACGTAAATACAAGAAATATTTTATTGTTAAAACGTTATATTAAACACTGCCTACACTGCAGTTACTTAAAGCGAAAGGTTTAATTACGTACTAGGCATGTCCAAAGGTCGCATCTTCACGTGATGGCGCATGTGATTTTTTTTGTTATTCGCCGGTCGATAATGTATTATTTCCCTCTCGCGCTGTTGCGAGGGAGACAGCCTAATTTCGTCACTCTCACGTGATATGCTCTCAACCAATAAAACACTAGAAAAATGCGACTTTGACTATTGATATATAATATTATAATATAACATTTGTAAATTCTGAAAGCTGATTGGCTAAGAGCCGTGTTGATATAACTCAATGTCAACACGGGAAATTTTCCGCCTCTTCCAAACACGGAATTTTTTCTCATCCTTCGGGCTTTTGACATTGCTATATTACAAAAAAAAATACAAAACATTTTTTCCGTATTGATATATAGTTATATCAACACTCGTGGAAGTTGGGAAAACTCGAAATTATATTATATTATTACTCGAAATTATTCCAATTCCACTCGTGTTGATATAACTGTATATCAACACGGAAAATGTTTTATATTTGTTAAATAACAATTATTATTATACATTTAATATGTATTCTCGTTTCTAATTGGTCAGAAAGCACCGGCTAATTTTCAGTATTTGGCATTTATTACGTACTTTCCGCCGATGACGTCATCAGCGTCCAATAATTGTTTTTTTGGATCGAACTTGCATCCAAAAAAAAAATTATTGGACTCTCTCGTGCCCAAACCCTTGCGCGGCCAAAAGCTTGAACCTATAAGCGCGCGAAAAAACAACAACAATGGCCTACAGCAGATTTGCTTCGCTGAATGAAAGTGAACTCTCCAAGTTATTGGCAGATAAGGATAGTGAAAGCACGAAAAAAGCCACAAAGGGGTAAATAGAAGTAGAAATAGAATATTTAGCTGACCTTTGACTTTGTGCAAGGTGTTTGATACTCAAATTGTACTTTTCCTACCTCATGAACAGGAATCGTTTTATACCTTTCTCATGTCTTTAAATGTATAATAAAACAATTATTGGATTCGGCTTTCATATGATATCAAGAATTATTCTGACCTCGGTCTATGTTATCCGCCTCAGCTTCGCTTCGGCAGATAACATTGACCTCGGTCTGAATAATTCTTGATATCATGCTCAGCCTCATCCAATAATTGCTTATTATACAGCAAGTGTCAAAGTTCAGTTTTCCTGTTCACCAATTGGTCAAAAGCGTAGCACCGGCCGGTCCACAAAACGTCATGTTCACTACATGCTTTGGTGAGGAGGCAACCGGTCAACAATGAAACCGACCTTGTTCGCGGGCTCTTCCTCCAAAAGAGGGAAGAGCCTGGGAACGAGGTTGCAATGAAACAATAATTGACCGCTCAATAGTAAAACCGAAAGTGAGGTGCGCACTGTTCGCATCAACCAGCAAATTCAAAGCAAATTTCTTTCAGGAGTTTCGGCATGTCTGCCGGTCGGCTTAAACACAGTTTCGGAATTAGAGGAACTGTTGAGACTTTGACACTTGCTATATAATCCCCGAGCCGACGGCGCGAAGCGCCGCGCGATGGTACTAATTCCCCCTGGCTATTTACACCCGGGAAACGAAAGCATTAGCTGAGTCTAAAGTTCATCAATTATCGCGGGCGCTCACCAACGGTGTTGATTGGGTGGTCATCACTGATCTCAGAATATGGCTGTTTGCCAGGAGTGAAGAAGGCAAAAATATAAAAAAATACATGTAAGAAAGCTTGGAAAATCGTTTCACATCACAAATTGTACAACTTTTTTGCAATTTCTAAACGTAAACATTGATAAGAATTGATATTGTATTATAAATCCTAAAGTATAGGGCAAGTTTGCTTCAATTGTTTATGTATGACTTTGTATTTAATAATATAGACTTTGTTCTTAATTGATGTTCAAGGCTTTCCTATGCATTGTTTGCGAAAGTTTCTTAGTTAAATTAACTTTTGTAGAAGTTCATGACAAAAAGGAAAGCAAACTATTTCCATTAGCGTCCTGTACGAATTAAATTTGTTTCATTTCAAAGTGCGAGTAATAAGTTGAAGCTCGAGTTGAGAAGTTTATAAATATCGGCAAAAAGCAGTTAATTTCAATTCACATTTAAAAACGTACGTAGAGATTCTACTTTTTACGTAGAGATTCGTTTTGAATTTTACATTAAAATAAAGCCCATAGAAACCAAAATATTATACCTACTTTATAAATTTTGTATTTTATTAATATCTGTATTTAAAAGTGTTCAAATTTCATCTGTTTTCTCCCGGTTTGTACAAAAAATTTAAAAAAAACAATATCGTGTTGCCATGACTAACATCATAGATTATAGATCATACCAGCTGTCTCACTGTGTATCTATCCCTATGATTTTCGTGTCCTCGATTTTCGCGAGGCTATATATCACGCCAGATGACGCGTGCGACACTTACTGCCAAAATGGCGCTTACTGCCAAAATGCGTGATTGCTCACGTTTCATGGCGTGGATTACACTTACTGCCAAAATGACGGCCAACGCGTGCTCATAAAAAATCGCGGACACAATTTTGGCTGAGTGAGACATCTGGTATAATCTATAATCTATGCTAACATGACGTGCAACGCGAGCCTGCGTTCAGTGTGGTTCAGTGTTGGCGTAATTACGAATACTTCATGTTGAAACAATGATTGGAAAATATAGGCGAGGGGCTGTTGTATGCATGTATTTCTAGTAAATAGAGAATAATACATGGGTGCGCGGAAATACCAGATTTATTTCGAGTGTTGAACATGATATCTCACGAGTGAGCGCAGCGAATGAGTGACTTGATATCATGTTCAACACGAGAAATAAATCTGGTATTTCCAAGCACCCAGGTATTTTTTTTTTTATATAAATGTTTTTCAGTGAAAAACAATAAAATGTCCGTGGCAACGCATTTTGCAACAAATGATATTTTCACAGGTAAAAATATCGTATTTTTTACGTGTATTTAAATACGACACTGTTTCGCTCGGTCTCAGTAAATAAGTGATAATTATAATATTTACTGAAATGGAGGTAAGTAGTGCGAGGATATTCACCGAAACGCAAAGGAATGAGGTAAACCGATCATTGCCCTGTTCACCGACATTGACAATTGATTGCAAAATTGACTATAAAATGATTTTAACAATTGGTTAATAAAATTACACTTGTTCTCGAAGTATTAATGAAAGGTTAGACTTGTGTTTTCGAAATATTTCGAACGGTACTTTCCAATACTATTGAATAAATTCTGATAATTATTGCACTCCAGTACGTGGGTGGTTCTTGGCCTTGGGGATCAATTTGAGCAAAAATATTAAAATGTCGGCTCCACTGGAGTGTGATTAGTTTCCCTTTTTTCATAATCTCGGTAGGTTTATCAAATTAATCGTTTATATGAATATTTGAAAATTACTTTTGAACGAAAGTAATTTGTAATTTCTAACAAGTGTTTGTAACGTTATTTACTCGTTACATTTTTGCTAACTTTTGAGAATACTGCTGTATCTTATTCTCAGATACGTCCATACATTTAACTGGGAATAAGACTTGGTCTGGTAGTTCGCCAAAACTTTTATTGACACAATTTGCTGAGAAAGTTGCGGCTTTCTGTGTTATTTTGATATTATTGCAATGAAGCCACCTGCTTGGGACTTGTGGCTACGAATTCGTCGTGTGCACTGCCGCCTTTATCAAAGCTTCACCAAACTTAAAATTCTGATTCGGATACATTTTATTTGTAGTATTTCGAGAACTCATGAACCAAGGAAGTGAAATTTCTCTCGGCTTTATCTCTGTGTTATCGTCTTAATTTTGGGCATAAATAAAGTGATATTTGATCGGTTTCAGTACAAAAATATCTTCGTAAAATATTCATCTTTTGCTGACATTTGCATGTTACTTGACAACAAAGAGCATCTTATTCGACATCTGCTTCCGTATAGTCGTGATAAAACTTCTACCACAATTGAACCAACTGTACAGCTGACAGCAGATGCTTATTTGTGACTTTTCATTCTAAGAAGATTGGCTTTAACAAAATTTTCCTCCCGCTTCAACTTTTACGACAAAGTCAAAGACGGAATTTTATGCATACTTCTATGCAACTCCGTATCCATTGGACGACGACGGCTGTTTAATACCGGTTTATTTACAATACAATTTTGAACTTCAATTACAGTGACAGACTTGAGAAGCCTTTGGAACCTAAACAAATTTCCGGAAGAAATACTGCGGTCGATTTTAAATAAAACTGACTGTTGGGAATATATATTTTAAAGGAGGTTAAAAAACGGAAAGTAAAACAGCGAAAACTCGACAGCAATGTTGAATTTTGTATCAATACGGCGGCTGATTACATTGTCAAGCAATGCCAGAGAGTTGACACGCTGCAGATATTTAAATTATTTCACTCCCGAAGATCTCATCCCGTATGCAGGAAAATTTACAAATACTGGAGCAATGAAGACACAACCGAAACAAACTAAATTTGGTTTGATAAAGGTGTTCCTTCTTACTGTACCTGCAGTCCTATTTGGCGCTTTTGTTTCGAACAAAGGCGCAGAAATCTTAGAGGAAAGTGAATTGTTTGTTCCAGATGATTAAATTTACACAATCGACCGATATCAAGTTTGGCTGAATTTGAACATGGGTATAATAAAAGAACTGTATAGGAAACTCATGACCATGTTACATGTATGACATTTCCAGCGAGGACATATTGCCCCTCAATGTAGTTAAAAAATTATGACCTCGCCAAATCAAAAAGTATACACGTCTATTAATGCCGTAATGCTTTAACAAATTACTCCTAAAACAGAATTACAGACAACCATTCAAGTTGGTTATGCAGACGAGCAGGTTTTCTATATGACAAGTTAGTTTGATGTTTGATGCAAGATTTATTTGCTCGTCTGTATATACGAATACGAACTTTGACAATTTTTACTGTGACAAGTACACTTGACCTAGCATGCATGCTACAATCCTGACAAAAATTATCGTGGAGAGCGCGTGCGTCAAACAAAGCTATATGTATTTCTACAGAATTTATCTCACTGAAAAAATTCTCCCCCTCCTACCCCCAATTCAGTGTTGGCAATTCATCTGAACATACTTTTAAAATTGAAATGCGGCAAACAACATTGAACAAGGGTCTGGGGGGCGGCAAATTTCATGAAATTATGTCGCAATGTTAATGTTGCCATTATTGACGATAAAACAGTTAGGTGTTCACAAAAGTGTCCACATAATTTTTGCCAGGATTGTAGCTTTTTAACAAGTATACTTGTCACAGTAAAAATTGTCAAAGCACACATTTGGCTCGTCCGTATAGATCAGCAAAGAAAAGATGTTAAGTAATCACTTGCATATGCAGTTGGTGAGCGATCTCTTGTTGCAATGGGTAATAGTAGCTATCTAGTTCATAGAAAACTTGCTCGTCAATAACGGGCTTTAATTTGTCTGAGTTTAGTCCGCTAGTCTATCATGCATTGTAAGACCAGAGCTGTACGGAGGATTTATCTCCAGAGGGCAGTAATACTTATATGATGAAATAAAATACCAAAATGTAGGCCTAAATGCATTCCAAGGCATATCAGTAAGATGTATCCGGGCCTTTTTTAAATATGTAACTGCGGGGACAATCGGCCCCCTAGCCCCGTGGTGTCAATTTTCCACCAGTCTACTTTCCACTGCAGATGAGCAGCACTCTGGGGTGCCTTGGAAAACGCCATTATAAAAGCTAAGAAGGCTAATCAGCAAACTCAACAAATAACGAATATCGAACAATGGACTACAGCATTCACTGTATATATGGCAATATTAACATCAAAGTTCACCTCGCGATCACAACAGAGGGGGGGAGGGGGTGAATATGTTTTCGGATCATCGGATTTCACAGAAAAAAATGTTCGGATTTCGGATCTGGCGAATATTGTACACGGATTTGCGGATCTTATTAATACAGTGGATTGCGGATTTATCTAATATTTTGGCACGGATTGTGGATTTAGCTTGCAATTTAGTTCGGATCCTGGATTGTGACTTCATTGTTTAGCGGATTCAAATTTGGACAAGACCATTGTCAGATCGTTGATTTTGTCCCCCACCCCCAGGAGTTGCTTCAGTATATGTCTCTCATCTGCTATGCCTCGTAAACCCAGCGGGGCCTTGGTTTATTTATGATCATAAGTTTCGCCGAAAGGCTGCCCTCAACGCAAGTCTAAATTGGTCACAAATTGACCAGCAGCTTTGGTTATGTCTTTTTACAATACCACCTGACATTTTAAGACGGGACTCTCAATTGAATCCCAGCAAAATACTCCCCTCTCAGGGGTCTCTAGAAGAGGAAATACCTGCCATGAATATAATAAAAGGGGTAAGTGTAAAAACACCAGTTGTCCCTACCGTCACGAATGCAACAGATGCTCAGGTACCCACCCAAGTTTCAGCTGCAATCAACGTCGACCAGAGCATGACCAACTCCCCAGGAGCAGCGACAAGTCAAAGACGTCTACACATGACCATTGACTATTATAATCAACTACCTACACCTATTTTTGTTAGTTGATAAACTAGAAAGTGCCCTTATAGATAGATAGATAGATAGATAGATAGATAGATAGATAGATAGATAGATAGATAGATAGATAGATAGATAGATAGATAGATAGATAGATAGATATTTTAATTCAAAGTTTACATTGCAGCTCATAAAAGCTGAATTGCGTAATCTATTTACAAGTTATTATAACTCTTATTTAAAATTACATTAGATGCTAAGTTTAGATATAAGACAGTTCAAGAAAATTTTTAACTACAAAGGTCAAATTGTATTAAGACTTGCACATCGAAGGAATAAAAGTCTGCCTTAAAGCGCTCAGTGCGTATCATTGGAATATTGAAGATTCGCTTCTTTCTAATGTCGTAGTTTTCCTCTTGCAAAGGAGGTAGAAGATTGTGTAACTTATGAGATTCCGAACTCTTGATGGCGAGAATAACTTGTCGCATGACTTCATACGTCTATCTTTTATAGTAGCTAAATTAAACTTCTGCAGGTTATGTTCATATAATTACTGGTTCGGGAAAATGATAGTCAGCGCTCTCTTTTGGACGTTTTGCAAGTCATCACACAAATATTCCGGGAGGGAATTGTGGAAAACCTGCGAGCAGTATTCCAACAGAGGTCTAATACATGTACAGAAAGACTTCGGATGCCCGCAGTAGGTACTCTGGAACGTTTTAGTAAAATTTGGAAGTACATACGCTTATTAGCTTTTCTAATTATTTTACCAATATGGACGTTCCACTGGAGGTCATTTGAGAGATTCAGACCTAAGATCTTTACATGTTTGACAACACCGAGTAGGTTACCATTTACTGTCAAAGGTTCGAAAACGTGTTTGGAATGCTTAAAGTCGATGATGAGTTCTTTGCATTTCTTGGCATTAACATAAGCTGGAGTTTATTTTCAGTGGACCACTTTTCAACTGATGTAACTGCGTCTTCGACTTGACTATTTGTTTCAATCTGGACAACTTCTGATATGGTTGTGTCGTCAACGAATTTCCAGCTACTAACAGCATCGATGATCTCGAGAACAGCTGGCGCAACGTACAATTTTACAACAAACTCCTCTGCAACTTTAGAAATAGCTGGTGCCAGGGAGATGCATATGGGTCTAAGGTGGTTATTGACATCTTCGACGGGGCTTTGATTTGGTACTGGGATAACATCAGCTAATTTCCAGGAAGAAGGAAGACCTTGATTAGCGAAGGAACAATTTATAACGTGGCAGATGGGATTGGAAAGTATCATGGCATATTCTTTAAGAATCCAGTTTGGGATGCCGTCAGGTCCGGGTGCTTTGTGTGGCAAATTCCGCAATACAGACGAAACAGCCTCGACCGAGATTTGGGGCAGTTTAGAGTTTGATTCGAAAGGAGGAGGAGGGTCAATGTTTTGATAAGTTTGCATCGGTTCTAAAAAAGCCGTATTAATCATGGTGGCAATTTCGTGCGGAGAAAGTGAATCAATACCTGGAATTTGCAGTTGATAACATAGAGACTCAAAGCCACAAGGTGTCGCCATTCCAGCAATACGTTTAACTGCGTTCCACCACTGGCTTGGTTTTGTTTGCTTAAGATGCTGGATCTTAGCATGGAAGTACCTGCTTTGGAGGGCTTTCCTTTTTCGATTGACAAGGTTTCGGTAATGACGATAGTTTTCCATTTCTCCGTTTGAAAAGGCTTGCTGGCGAGATTTGATTAGTTCTTTAAAGTCAGAGGTAACCCATGGGAGATAATTTACATGAAGTTTTATTCACTTTAGAGGCATGATTGTGTCAACGCCAACGGTAATTAAATCAACAAAAAGTTGTAACTTGACTGCACAGCTTTCAACATCTTCGAGAAACGGCCAATCGATAGAACTTAGGTACCTACCGAGTTCGTATATTCTACTTGGGCGGGTGTCGCGTCTCATCAGGGTTTTCCTGCTAGAGTTGGAGTTAGGGTACCGCGTTTTGGGACGAAGAAGGACACCAATTACGTGGTCTGAGAGACCGAAAGGAGGGATGGAGTGAACAGAATTGTGATCATAAATCTGGTACATGTTGGTGATTATGAGGTCCAAGATGTTGTTACCTCTAGTAGGGGTGTGGACTAGTTGTTTCATTTTAAATTGGGTTAAGAGGCGGCGAATCTTCAGTTGGTTAAAATCGCCAGCCAGGAGAATGCCACATCAGGGGAGAGGCTTTCTACAGAGATGAGTGTTGTTGTTAAGTAACGTAACATGACTTTGTTGTCAAAACTAGGTGGATGATATATGATTCCCACAATAATACAAGGAGTACCACGAGGCAATCTTGTAGGCCTAATATGATACCATAGCACCTCCATTTCAGGTTCTTCCAATTCAGGTAATCGTTTACAAGGGATTGTGGACCTGACGTATAGACACACGCCCCCGTGTGATTGGGAGACACGGTTTTTAAAGGTAAAATTATATCCAGGGACAAGGAGATGATCGTTGATAATTGAATCGTGTAGCCATGTTTCGGTGAAGCAGGCCAGATCAGGATTCTCCTCTTGGATAACACAACGAACTTCGTCAATTTTAGGTAAAAGAGACATGGTATTCGCAAGCAATACGCTAGGACCAAAGTCATATTTCATTGTGCAAGTACCTATTAGTACCTAAGTTTGACATTCGTAAGATTTGCAGTGTTCGCTTGCTTAGTACTATGTTAACTTGGAGTTTGGTAACATTTCTGTTGGTAATTCTCACAGGAATGGGACAACTTAATACTGTAGATGGTCGTTTGAATTCCAAATATATATATAGACTCATTATTTAAACAATTAGTAGTTGGGCCAAAATGGTTAGGGTTTGGATGAATGTTAGAGGTATACAGGGAAGATCGAGGTCTCACAATTCAATGTACGGGAGGTTTTGTCATTATTGACATGAGTGGTTGGGGGTCTTGTCAGTGGGGACATTTGTGGAGGTACATACGGGTACGGAAACGGCTGAGACAGGGGATAAAAACATGGGAAACGAATCAGGGGAAAATAATTTAGGTCGTACGGAAAAGGAAATTGGTTATTACTGCATTGTGGCATGTTTAGAGGGGGAGATCTTTCACTATGCTTCTGTGGAGATGTCTTTCCGCGTGTTCCAGGTAGGACATTCTCATGTAAAAAGTCACATATGTATCCCTTTAAACAATTTCCCCGCCTTTTCAGAAACGGGCATGCCACTAGAGCTTTTTTTGTTTTGTCTGTGTTGGCAGAATCAATGTTATTTTTGTTCGGGTCGCGATTATAGTAGTTTTGAGTTGGATTTTGTTTGTGAGATGGACTTTCGATGGTGATTAAACTTGCATTATTTTCCTTCGACTTAGTCACAGAATACTACACAGAAGTCCATCTCCTTTGTTTTTTGCGTAAGCTCTATTCGTCATGATTCGTCACTCAGCAAGTACCGTAAACAGAAGCAGTCACCCCCCTGGACGTGCGCCATTTTGAGTATCTCCAGGGGGGGTACTGCTTCTGTTTACGGTACTTGCTGAGTGACGAATCATGACGAATAGAGCTTACGCAAAAAACAAAGGAGATGGACTTCTGTATAGTATTCTGTGACTTAGTTGATGTTGTAGATGTAACCGATGGGATTTCAATGATACTTGGATTTGCATTATTTATTTATAGGTTATCCAGTTGTACGATGTTACAGGATGACCTTCCGGTTGAGATGTTGGTTGTATTTATCGTAGGACCATGATCGTTTCTGGCGATTGGGCTTGCATTATTTCTATTCATATTAAGTGGCGTTTTGACTCGTGTCGTTACGCTTGAAGTACTAGTTGAATTAGTTGCCGGCCCCTGGTTATTACGTGTTAATCTAAATACTAGATTTTCAAGGACACGAGTTTCGATTTAAAAACTTTGTTGTTCATATTAAGTGGCGATTTGACTGCTGATGGACTATTAATTGGACTTGAATTGTTTGTGTTTACATTATGCAGTTTCACACCGCTAATGGGTGTCGTTACGCTTGGAGTATTAGTTGAATTAGTTGCCGGTCCACGATCATTGTTCTCTTGGTTTTTACCTGTTAATCCAAATACTAGATTTTCAAGCGACACAAGTTTCGATTTAAAAACTGAATTCTCCTCGCTAAGTTTATGAATCATTTCTTCTTGATGCTGTATGATGGCTTCCACATTTGCTTGTTTGGCTTTAAGTAAGTTAGTGTTCCACGCATTTTGGGAAATTACTTCGGGTAATAATTTGCCTTCCAAAATTGCTATGATCTAATTTAATACCTTCGATTTCAGTTGTTATGCTCCTGTTTATACATTTACAGTCATGGTTACATACCTTAGCTAAGGCATCCCTTGCTTCGCTCGCTTCGCCTTTATTTATCGATTGACATGACTCTGGTGATTCGCTGTTACCAGACATATTTGGAGTCTCAGATCACACATGATCATTGTCCGTAGCTTTGACATTTGTCAACTGAGATGTCTTACTTCGTGTCACGGAGCACCCATAATCGTTATCTGTACCTTCGACATTTGTCAGCTGGGGAGTTAATAGGTTCCCACTGCCTATATCAAGTCGCTGCTCGATGGCTTGTTTGTTTTTTCCTAAGATCTTCAGTTCTTTATTGTCTTGATTCCATTTTATTGAGACCGATTCGCCCCAGAACCGCTTCACACCACCGCCTGGCGAAGACCATTGCCCAGTTAGATTTAATTCGTCTTTAACCAGTACTTTTAGCTGAGATAAATCGCCCGTCCACATAAACTCTGAATTTTTGACAAACAGACAATCATAGAGACTAGCAATAGACATTTTCAACGGGATTTGTAACATACAATTTGGAATATATCACGGAGCAACTTAAGACACGTCTCCACACAGTGCAATATATCACAATGAAGGTTTCTCACAGTGACAAATTGCTTCAAAGATATAGGCGTGTCGAAAGGTGCTGTGCGGCGAAACGTGGAAAGGTTCGGAAAAACTAAGTCCAATTCCACTCTACGAAGGTCTGGGAAACCAAGGTTTATTACATCACAAGAGGATAGATAGATAGATAGATAAATTGATTGATTGAAATCTTTATTTAAACACGGTGGTTTTATCAATTGGAATAAATATTAATTATTTACAATTTGTTCTTCCTAAAAGCCGTGTATAATTTCAGATAGATAGATAGATAGATAGATAGATAGATTGATTGATTGATTGAAATCTTTATTTAAACACGGTGGTTTTATCAAATGGAATAAATAATAATTATTTACAATTTGTTCTTCCTAAAAGCCGTGTATAATTTATGATATACGTACATTTTTACATTTTTTTGGAATTTTTGAAAGAAAAGAGACTATTTACAATTATTCATAGAATAATAACTGACTATGTTGGTGCAGATAGCAGATGTTCTAATCTTTTTATGAACCTTTTTAATGAAGGTTCATGTTTAAGTTCGTCTGGTAAAGAATTCCATAGCTTTGCTCCAGTGAAAGCAAAACTTGAATTATAATAATCTGTTCGATTTACAGGAAGCTCGAAATTTAATTTGGATTGACGAAGGCTATAATCATTTAAGCTACTATGAAATGTAAACATTTCCGTTAAATATTCTGGTGCAAGACCATGTACTATTTTATACATCATAATAGCTTTTTGTTTTTCTCGCATTTCTTTTATATTCATCCAGTTTAATTCCGCCAAAATCAACGAAGATGATTTTAATAAGGGTGCTCCCGTAATTATGCGCGCCGCTCTGTTTTGAAGAACTTGCAATTGTTTTCCAATGTCTCACTTATATTTTCCCAAACAATTGAACAGTAAATAAAATACGGTTCAATTAATGCTCTATACAGAGACACAAGATTTTTCCGACTAAAGAGTTTCTTCACTTTACGGAGGGCTGCAATATTACGGGATACCTTTAAACGGAT